AATCAAAATAGAACTGGTAGAGTTTTTAATGGCTTGTTTTTCTGGAAGTAGAACTCTAGAACATTATTCTGGGGTGCCTTTGGCTATACTTGAACAACATCACCTTTTTTGTTTCACAGTCATGTGTATTAATGATCTGCACCATTTGAAAATAAAGCTGTATTTCCACCCCTCTCCCCATTCTAGGTGTATGAATATCCTTAATTCTATCCATTCTTAATCTGTTGGGTAAAATTAAGAATTCACTCTTTAGAAAAGCGTACTAACCATTAATTTGGGTTAAGAATTCTTCCAGAATCATACTAATGACAGCAACTTGTTGTTTGTTGTTGTTATGTGCTGTCGAGTCGTTTGTGACTCATAGCAACCCTATGTACAACAGCCCTAAACCCTGCTCTATCCTGTGCCAATCTCATTGCCTCTGACACACCCATCCCAATTACCGCAGTCACTGAATCAATCCATCTCGTAGAGGGTCTTCCCCTCCTGCGCTCTCCCTCTACTCTACCCAGCATGATGTCCCTCTCTAAAGACCTGTCTCTCCTTACAATATGTCCAAAGTATGTCAGACGAAGCCCCAGAGTCCTTGCCTCCAAGGAGCAGCCTGGTTTAACCCTCTCTAGGGTGAATCTGTTTGTTTTCTTGGCAGTCCATGGTACATTCAATACTCTTCTCCAGCACCACAGCTCAAAGGCGTCAATTCTCCTTCTGTCCTCCCTAGTCATTGTCCAACTCTCTGATGCATAACAAGTGATTGCAAAAACCATGGCGTGTATCAGGTGCACCTTCGTCTCCAGAGAGACACTGTTGCTCTTGAGTACTTTAGAGATGTCCCTAATAGCAGACTTTCCCATCGCAATACATTTTTTGATACGCATGGGTTATTGTGAACAGCATTGCACTGGACAGGAACCAGTGTTATGTTGTTATTGTTAGTTGCCGTCAAGTAGAACACGACTCATAGAGACATTATGAATAACCAACTTGAACCCTTCCCTATCCTGTGTCAGTCATCCTCACCATCTCTGATACACTTATGCCCATTGCTGCAGTCACTGTGTCAATCCATCTTATTGGGGGTCATCCTCTCTTTCGCTGACTCTCCACCCTCCCAAGCATGATATCCCTTTCCAAGGAATAGTTTCTCCTAGTCACTAAAGTATGAAGTATGCTCAAAGTATAAAGGTGAAGGTTTGTCATCCATGCCTCCAAGGAGCACTCCAGTGGCACCTTTTTATTTTTTCCTTTTTTATTATTATTAATTTTAATGAAAGTTTACAGAGACTTTGGATTTCCATTCAATCATTGTTGCGCTTTTCTTCCTGCCCACCCCTCCCCCAGCTCACTCTTCTCTTTGAAAAGTAAAAGAAAAATTATTTCATTATTATACAATCTACCCCCCAAGTCAAATGGCACCTTTTTAAAGACACACCTATTCATTCTTTTGGCAATCTACAATATGATCTTCTACAACACCACAACTCAAAGCCATCAATTCTTCTTCTGCCATCTTTATTCATTGTCCAGCTCTTAGATGAATAGTAATTGTAAATGACCATCACCTGAATCAGATACACTTTAGTCTTCAAATGGACATCACGGCTTTTTAGTATTTTATAGAGGTACCTGACAGCAGACTTGCCTGAAGCAATATGCCCACTTATCTCCTAACTGCTGGTACTAGTTGATTGTAGATCCAAGCAAGATGAAATTATTAACAGTTTCAATCCTTTCTCCACCTAGCATGATGTTACCCACAGGCCCAGTGGTTAGGACCTTTGTCTTCTTGATGTTAAAATGCAATCCATATTGAAGGCTGTGTTTAATCTTCCTCAAGAAGCACTTCAGGTCCCTCTCTCATTCAGCGAGCAAGGTTGTTTCATCTGCATAGCGTAGGTTGTCAAAGAGTCTTCCTCTGATCCTGACTGGTGGTCAGTTACGACCATAGATAACAAACTCAGTAGTATTAGCAGTACTTGTGACTTAGCTATTAATCAAAATGGCTTTCATTATTACCTTCTCATTGCAGTATAAAATTAAAGCTCTTCCCATTGGTAAGAAAGATGTTTAGTCTTGCTATGTAAAATATTAGTAATGTAGGACACATTTTGACATGGCAAAAACGGCTTTTTAACATTGTGACAGTTGTGTTTCATTATAAATGTCGTGGGAGATCATCCGTCTCCCATGTGATGCTTTTTATACCTTAGGATGAAACATAAGCACACGGAAACAGTAGGATCCTTTTGGGAGACACAGGTTAAGGGATGGTGAGAACTTCACATCTTGTTTTACTGCTTATTTCTGCAAATGTTGCTGAGAACTGGTAATTGTCTGTGACATCTCTGGCTAGATGCTGTGTTGTTACTGTTGTTAGAGGCCAGAGTCATCAGACACAGTGGAAGGTATCAGGGTTCTGGGGTGCCTTTCCTTGCACCCTTCACATGAACTGCTGTGGATCAGACCTTCTACAAGCTGAAGGGTGGCGAGAACACTGAAAATCATTAGCAGATTAGTTCTCATTTACTAATTTATTAAAAATACCCAAATCTTAATGAATAAGTCATAGATAGATAGGTAAGTAGATAGATAGATAAAGATACATAAATATATAATTATCAACTTATAGATTGCTCAACTAATTGCCATTGAATTGGAACAGACTCACAGCTGATCTTCCGGTAGTTTTCAGGGGCTTTAAATCACCTAGGAAATTGTCCCATCTTTCTCCTCCAAAGCAGGTGGTGGAGTCTAACTGTCTGCTTCATGGCTCCTTGGAAAAGGATGTCATACAGAGGAAGATGAAGGGTCAGAGAAAGAGAGGAAGATGTGCTCCTCGCCCCAGTGTACCCACCTAGATTGACACAGTAACTGTAGTAATGAGCGAGGGCACCTCAGAGATTATGAGGACGACACAGGATAGGGCAAAGTTCAGATCTGTTGTCCTCAGAATTTAAGTCTTCGTCAACTCACAGGCACCTAACAATATAACAATCTATCTATCTATCATCTATCTATCTCTATCTATCTATCTATCTATCTATCTATCTATCTATCTATCTATCTATCTATCTATCTATATCTATATATCTATCAAACCCACTGCCGTGGAGTTGTATTTGGCTTGTCTAGAGACTGTCCACCTGTGCATCATTAACGAGAGGAAACAATGACTCATTTTTCTTCAGCAGAGCGCCTGGAGGAGCCATAGATATAAACACAGATAACAATATAGTCTCTTGTGTTTCCTTTCAAAGGCTATAAATCTCACAGGAGGAGACTGTCCATCTTTCTCCTGAAGAGCAGCTGGTGGATTTGAGCCCTGAAACGCCTTACCCTCTAGACCACCAGAGCTACTTAGTCCATATGAAGTTAATACTGGAAACAGGATGTTTGTTTTCTTTCATTTATATCATGGCATTAAAAAAGCAGTAAGTTTAATGTGAGATGTTTATATGTTCCAGTTTTCTTTCTTTTTTGCGACCCTCCCCCCCCCGTAAATGGAAGACAAATCTTAAAACTTCAATCGAGTAGCAAGTTAGCAGTGTCTTGGAAGGGCTGCAACTGAGTTGAGTCGTTGAGAAGGAGGTGCATGAATTTAAAGTTTTCTCTGCAGATGGACATGGAGGGAGCGCGCCAAGGGGCGCGAGCTTTGGTGCTGGGAAGTTTCTGCTGACAAAGGCGGAGCCGGCGGGGCGGAGTCTCCCTCCACAGCCGGGAACCGGGGCCCCAGCGGAGGTTGGGGAGTGGGCGGAGCCCCGGCCGGCGCCGGATCCCCGGGTAAGAGGGCACCGCCCAGCGTGCAGCCCGGCCAGGCCCGACGAGGCCACGCGCCCGGCTCCCGCGCCATGGGGCGGCTGGTGGCCGTGAGCCTCTTGGGGATATCGCTGGCGCTCCTGGGCGAGAGGTTCCTGGCGCTCAGGTAGGTGAGGGTTCCCTGAGAGAGCCCTTGAGTGCTCAGTGCCGCCGAACGCCCCTCTCTCTCTCTGATGCCCCTCCCTAGGGGTCCTTCCAAACCGTAGGTCCTCAAATTGGGTCATGGGATTCTCTGGCTAGTGCATAAACCGAAATTCCAGGGGGCGGGGTGGGGGGGACCCCATCCTAGAGGCTGTGGACGTGGTTGAAGAACTTTTCACCAGCTAGTTGTACAGCTCCACCACTACGCCCAGGCTGAGGTCAAAACCAACCCGGTTTGAAAACAATCTGGAGACCTGAAAAGTTCCCGGGACTGCTGCTTACAGAGTTCCATCAGGTCCAGGTGGACTGCGAGGGCTTTGTAGGGCGTCCAGGCCACATCAAGAGTTTTAACTTGAAAACACAAAGTATTACTCATGCATTGCTGCTTTAATGATACTGCTTTATTATTATAGGTCGTTGGTATGACTTCTTTTTTGTTGTTGGAGCCATCCTGCGTCCTCAGTAAAAATTGTGCTGCATCTGTCTTTCTCAGCGTGGTTTGAGAAAGTTTTCAGCCCTGTAATCTTGGCGCTGTGAATCTAAGACGTTTGAGATAAGAGGCTACTATTCTTTCATCATTCCCATGTTTATCTGTACACCTGAGTGCCCGGAAGCCAGAAGCCAGACAGTAGGGGGACTTTCAGCTACTGTTCACATTTTCGTTGAAAGATGGGCAGTGTCCCCTTGGGATTTACACCTTGTTCTCATAAACAACAACCCACCAACAGGTATAATCGAACCAGTGCATCGCCATACCACTAGGCCATCAGAGCGCCCCAGTAGGCGGACATCGTTTTATCTATCTATCTATCTATCTATCTATCTATCTATCTATCTATCTATCTGACAATTCAAATTTTATAAGCCTGAAGGGATCAGAAGGTGGAGAATTCAAGAAATCTGGAGCTCTTAACTATGTATAATGTACTCTCATTTCTGTTGAGTCCGGCGGACAAGTATCTGACACCCTCCCTCCTCCTCCCCCCAGTGGGTCTCCCAGGCTATAATCGCGTGGGAGTAGACTGCTTCTGCCTTTGGTGGTGACTTTCAACCACTGGAGACGCCCAGCCTTTGCGTTATCAGCACAACTCCTTAAGGGCCATCAGAGCCCGCTGTAATAGAGTCCTACATCATTTACTTTATTATGCAGGAGGAAGATATAAAACAAATCTATGTCCAGAGAAGGTGCTAATAAAATATCTATTGGCTTAAGGAGGATTGATTCCCTCCAATGAAGGTGGAGTTGAAGAGGGAGGACTAGGCATTGACATTGACCTTGAAGGACTGGGGAAGAAGGAAGTCGCCTGGGTGAAAAGTGCCCTGTGAGGAAAGGCAGTACAATGGGACTGTTCGGAGACTAGAAATTAGACTTCCTTTAGAGAGCACGGGGAAATAGCATACAGTAGAGAGTGTTGGAAGGGTAGGTTTTGACTATTAAATATAGGTTGAAAACCTCATACTTTTCAAGGTTCTGAGTAACAAGTTATACTTCCTATAAGTGAACTAACTGGAGGGACAGATTGAAGAAGAGCAGTGGTTCTCTAACTTGGCTGTGCGTTTGGATCTTCTGAAGGGCTGATGTATTGGTGTTAGATATTCTTGTACATTTGGTCAGGGTAGGATCCAGCCTCTTAGTAAGTCTGCAATACTTGCCATATGCAGTCAGGGTTAGTAGTACTGGAGTAGAGCATACCAGTGCAGTCAGCTCCAACACCAAGTGTCAGAATAGGGCTGTGATCCCTAGAGTTTTCATTGTCAAGTGTTTGAGAAGAGCACTAGTAGGCCTGTCTTCTGAAGTGTTCTGGTTGCATTAGAACCACTAACCTTTTTTTTCCCTATAATTTGAATTTTTATTGATTTCATCTATTTTATACTGGTGTATTTATAAAGTTCGTATCATTGTTTTTCATACTAGATTTTTCCCATTTCCTTCATCCACTCCCCACCCCTGCTACCCATCAAATTGTGCGACCCTATGATTAAGCACCCCCAGCCCCACCCACTCTCACCCGTCTGCTCCTTCCCCCCTTTGGATCCTCATACTCGTTCAGCAATAATGATCTTATACAATATTTGACCTTATGGGACTGAGTTACCTCCCAAGTTAGGTAGTCATTTACAAATCATTGCTCCTAAAAGCTTCACAGTATTCCATTGTGTGAATGTACCATAATTTTTTAATCCATTCGCTTGAGATACAAATCAAAACCACAATGAGATACCATCTCACTATAGTAGCTGTGACAAAGTTCAACAAGACAGCAAGTAATAAATGTTGGATAGCATGTAGAGAGGTAGGAACATTTCTACACTGGTGGTGGCATTGTAAAATGGTACTCTGGAGGGCAATTTGGCATTTCCTAAAAAAAGCCAAATTTGGAAATTCCATATGACCCAGCTGTTCCACTACTTGGAATATACCCTGAGAAAATCAGAACTGAGGCACAAACAGAGACTTGTGTGTACTCCAATGTTCATAGCAGCATTATTCACCGTCACAAGGACATGGAAGCAGCCCAGTTGTCCAACCTGTAACCTTTTGATTAGCAGTCAGGCCACCATACCTGTTTGTACTACTCGGACACTAAGAGAGCACAGACATAGAGAAACTAGTTAAGATCCATCAGTCCTTTGGTGAGAATGACAAACTCTCAAACCCCAGGGATGAAGAAAAGTCTGAGGTGATACTAGGGCTTCTGATTCTACTGGTGGTTCCAGCTGATAGTAACAGGATGCAAGGAAAGAGGTTAAAGATGCATGTCTGGGGCGGGGCGGGGGGAGGGAGATATGTGGAAGGAGATCTATTGCTAGAAAATGGACATGCCAAATGAACTTCATTTTCATGTTATGCGAATATACATCCTGCTCTTCAGACTGTTCTTGGGATGAATGATTTTTAAGATAATCTGTCAGGCCCTCCCTATTTTAGAGAGTTTTGGTGGTGTGTTCCCTAGGGAGTTGTGCTGCTATGCAAAGGTTATATGTCTCTGATGGTCTGAGTCCTCCAGCGGCTCTGAGGGTGAAGGTGGACAGTTTCCTCCTGTGCAGTTTGCAGCCTTGAACACCCAGTGGAGGAGTAATTATGTATTGGTTCTGACTACACAGTAGTGAGTTAAGTTCTCTGTTCCAAAGGTAAGACCTTCCACATTCACAAGCCTATCAATTGTCAGTCACGTTCAAACTACCAATATTTCCATAAGGTAGAGGTTTCTTGATTAACAGTTAATGTTTTCTCTTACTACAGATTTTAAAGGGACCTCTGGTGACTTCATAGTAAGGAATTGCACAGCAATTGCAAAGATACATGGTTCAAATCTCCCAGTTGTTCTGTGGAAGAAAGCTGGGTAATCTCCTGCTGTGCAATTTACTGCCTCTGAAAACCCACTGCTATGGGTCAGTTCCAACCCAGTGGTACACAACAACGACAATAATGGATCGTAAAGATTTAACTATTTAGACCTCATTGAATGAAAAATGTTAGGGTTGCAAACTGATAAAACTAAGGGTTATTGACCCAGACCACACTTGATAGGCAATTAATAATTTACTTTTCTTTATAGTTAATTCACTGTATGACAGACTTTATTAGATAATGACTTTGTAGGTCAGTAATATTGGGAAAGCAACCCTGGTGGTCCATTGGTTAAGTGCTAGACAGCCAATTATAAGGTCAACAGTTCTGAGCCTCCTGGTGGTCCCAGAAGAGAAAAACCTATTGATCTTCTTTCATATAGATAACTGTTAAGGAACCTATTGGGCCATTTTATTCGGTCACATGAGTTACTATGAATTACAGTCAAATTGGCAGCATCCAACAACAGCTTTTTTTTTTTTTTTTAAACTGCGTTATGGGGTAGTTGAAGTCCAGATCAGCTGATGATAGGGTGTTGGTTTGAGTTGAGAATTACTAGCGTTAACAAAAATATAGGCTGCCAGTTATGTTTTAATTTTAGATACACAGCCAATCATTGTTAGTGTGACCGTGAGCTATTATTATTTCCAGGTGCAGTCAAGTAGAACTCACAGTGACCCTAGGCCCTTGTCTGGCTTGTGCCATTCTCATCATCCCTGATGTATTTGAGCCCATTACTGTAGTCACTGTGTCAAGCCATCTCGTTGAAGGTCGTCTTCTCTTTTGTCCCTCTATCTTTTCAAGCATGATATTATTTTCCAAGGAATGACCCTTCACAACATGTTGTTAAGTGCCATCGAATCATTGACAACTTATAGCGACATATTGTAAGGGAGGACCAGTCCTTGGAGAAGGACATCATGCTTGGGAGGGGTGGAGGGACAGCGCAGGAGAGGAAGACCCTCTATGGGGTGGATTGATTCAGTGACTGAGATAATTGGGGTGGGTGTATCAGAGACAGTGCGATTGGCACAGGACAGAGCAGGGTTTAGGGCCGTTGTACATAGGGTCACTATGAGTCACAGGTGACACGACAACATGTAACAATAACAACAACATACTCATAAGGTGCTCTGGTGGTGATTAAGTGTTGGGCTGCTATCTGAAAGATCAACATTTTGAACCTACAAGCTGCTCTTTGGGAGGAAGAGAAAGTCTCTTCTCAGAAAGATTTCCAGCCTCGGATCCAGTGGAGTCCAGATTGAGTCCATAGTAGTGGGTTACGCAGCTTGTTGAACTGTTAACCATTGACAGTTCTAATCCACCAGCCACTACTGGGGAGAGGGAGTCACAGTCCAGGAAAGCTGATGCAGAGTCACTGGGAGTCAAACTCAACTCATTGGCAGTTGGTTTGGGTTAGGCAGGTCATGAGCCCTAGTGCACCTAGTGGTGCAGTAAGTTAGTCATTTGGTTGATAACTGGAAACCTAGCAGTTCTAACCCACGAGATACTCGATGGGAAAAACCTGTCGACTCCTTCTCGCATAAAGATTTCCATCCTTGCAAACCCTGCTGGGCTGGGCTGCTTCTTACAGGGTTGCCAAGAGTTGGAAT